AAAGTCCAGGACACTCGACATTCAACAACATTTATGGACATTGGTCATCTACCCCTTAAGGACCAATGGCTCAATGTGTTTTTTCATTATTGCATTTCCTACATTTTGAGCCGTTTGATTCTCTGATCTTTGTTGGTGAAGTCCTCCGAGATAACAGAAGTTCTCTCAATGACCCCGCCTCCATGGTTGCACATCATCTGAACATATGATGCTTCTAAAGTTAACTGCAAGATTCAGATCCAGACCTGTACCTCCTTTGCGAGATGCAGCGAGGACCTTTAGCTGCTAGATAGATTTCTGTAAAAAGAGCGTAGAACTTCTCTCATTTGATCAGGTCAGACAATAACCTCTTGCAAACTTTCTCATTAGTGGGGTGACGCCATAACAGGCTTTTTAATTAAACTTTTAATTAGGCAGCAGACCGGTAAGGCAGAGGGGGTGGGGCAACGGGGCAGGTCAGGTTGAGGGGGCGGAGCCACAGAGACGACTTATCTCAAACTATGAGGGGACAACTTCCCGTCATGGAGCGAGCGTCAACTCACTGCAGTTTAATTATAAGACTTAACCTTTTGTACAGAGGAGGGCAAGAGTTCTGAACAGTGGGGGAGAGGGAGCAGCGTCTGCAGTCAAAGCTCTCGATTTACAGGTCAATCTTCGTCCCCTCCCGGGTGCCGTTAGCTTCCATTACTCATTCACATTCATCTATTTTGACAATTAACCAGTGCCTTACAGCTACTAAAACTTGGAGTACACGTAAAAACTCTACCACAATAAAAACACACACATTAGCCGCATCGCTACATAGGCGGCCGCAGGGATCAAAGAAGTAGAAAAAAAAGTAGCAGCTAATGGTCCTAAGATACTACTAATGTCAACTCAATGTCAGATGTTGTTTCCAGCACATTCTCTGCAGCGTCTAAAGTCACCAGCCCTCTGCCCTCAGACGACTGTCGTGTAAGCAAACACACACACACCCTCAGGACACACGCTATCACACATGCTTTTTAAATCTCAGTATTGTCTTGAAGGAATTGATTAAAGTTATTTGTTTCTCAATATGAAAAAGGCGAGAGCAACTAGCCGCACATACTGGAGAAAGATAGACTTTGTGGGTGACTCCGGATGTGATTTTAGTGCCAGAAAAGGGGGATTTTGCTAAAACAAATTTATATTATTAAATGTTCTGCAGGAAAAGTGGATAATAACAGATCCAACTCAAAAGACAGTATTTATGAAAGAACGCTTTTCGAATGTTGAAAATCCGTAGTAACAAAAATCAGCGCTACATCAACAGCGAATAAATCCTGAATCCTTACAATCAGAATCAGAATCATTTTTATTGCCACGTAAGTAACAGGAAGTCACAGACTTGGAAATTGCTTTGGCTCAGTGCAACAGTCAGAAAGAGATAGAGAAAGAGATGATAATCAGTCCTCAATCACCAGCCTCAGTCCTGGGTCTAAAGCCTCAGTCCTGGGTCTAAAGCCTCAGTCCTGGGTCTAAAGCCTCAGTCCTGGGTCTAAAGCCTCAGTCCTGGGTCACGTCTTTGCAGTGGCCTGAGGAGGATGTTGTTGAGGAAGGGGTTCAACTGCTGGGGGTCACGCGTGTTGTGTCGTGCTGTAACATTCCACTGCCCACAAATGGCCGGGTGCGAGAACTACCGTTTTTTTGTTGTTGCCTAAACGCTGTGTAATTTGAAAAAGGAGCCTGGTCGTTTTTGCTAATGGCGTGGCAACATATTTGCAGCGTCTCCGTTTAAACGGGGCCTAAAACATGCTACAAAGAAAGGTGTAAAAACAACTTAAAACAACCACTTTTTGTTTCAACTCGTCTCGGTGGAGTGGCATCAAGAGGTGTCCAAATCTTTTAGTAAGGGGCCGCTTTAGTTCAGCAACAGTGTCCTGGGGCTGCTGACGTCACTGACTGACTAGATTCTGTATGTTCTGAGCTTTAACATGAGGTATGACCAGTTAGTCTATAGGGTTCAATCAGCTCAATGTCCTAATACAAAAATTCAGAAAAAAGGTTTTGGATAGAGGATAGATCCTTTCTCAATGTGGACCTGAGGTTTCTAATTTTTCCCACTGGGTTTTAGAGTTTTTCCTTGCAGATGCAGGAGACTCAACATTCAACAACATTTATGGACAATTATCAACTATTATAGACATTGTTAATTTGCCCCTTATGGACCAATACCAATGTGTTTTTATCGTTGCATTTCTTGTATTTGAACTGTTTCTCTGATCTGTGTTGGCAAATTTAACGGTTTTGTTAAATCCTCCAAGACAGCTACTATTGTCATTGAGGGCTTGAAATGAATTGAATCAGAGAGAGACTAGAGAGAAATAGTCCAGAGAGAGAACAGAGATGCTTGGGGGAATTCTCGCGGTACTGCAGACTAAACAAGACTACAGTAAAGTCACGAGGGCTACCCAGAAATTTTCCACATAGAACTCAACGTAAACTAAAACAGCTCAGCCTCAAACTCAGCTCAGCTGACTGAGAACCTGCAGCTTTCACAAAGGTCAGATTTTGTGGGGATTTTACTGTCCCTTGTCACTTTATTGCCACAAACTCAGCTGTTTTCCTTCCCGCTCTGACTTCGCTCTACTGCTGCTCTGATAACCAGCGCTGATTGGTCAGAGTGCGGCCAAGCCCCTCTGTGCACGTGCATGAAAGCCACACACGCGTATTTGGCGCAACGCATCAGGGGAGCCCAACAACTGCGCAGAACCGGGAGGACCAGACGATGCCCATATATAGGAAAGTTCCGCTAATATGTCAGCCTCCATGCCGGCACATGCGCCCTCTTGGATCGCCGTGGCTTGCCAAAGAGAGAGAGATCAGAGAGAGAGATGTAAGTGGCACAGTGACTAGCAGATAGCACGCTCACTTTTAAGCAAGAAGGTTCATCCATCCATTTTCTACCCGTTAATCCATTTCTGCGTTGGGGGGGTGGCCAGAGATGCTACCCAGTCACATAGCACCAGCCCCTCACTGATCCTCCTGCAGGTGGTGAGTCCACAGGAGAACGGCCGCTCTATTGCATTGCCTTGATCTTTCAGCGGGGGCTTCAGGCAAAGTGAGGGAGTTGGTGGAGAAGGTCTCATGGTGGGCTCGAACCCACGACCTTCAGGCTCAAAGGCCAATGCTCTACCAACTGTCGCCCACAGCAAGAAGGTTCTGGGTTCGAATCCAGGTTGGAAGAGAGTGTGGTTAACATGTTCTCCCTGTAGTTACAGCTGTTAGAAATGTTAAGGGGAATCTAAGCCACGAACTATACTGTGAAGTAGGGGTGGGAATTGGCAAAAATGTGACAATTCAATAGTATTGCGATATGGGCCACAAATTAATGCCATTCTTAACATATTGTGATCGAGAAATTATAGCAACTCAATTTTGCGACTTTTGTGTTTTCATGTCACTCATCATTCAAAAACATTACAAAAACGGAGGAAAATAAGACTAAAGACTAAAATGTGACATTTATAATGGTCTGAACATCAACTGAAGGGTAGTGCAAAAATGTTATCCTTGAACCTTCAGGACACAGGACTCCGAATAGACGACCTCTCACATAAATGGTGAGCTCCCAGGACATCACTTACATTAATCAAATACAATAGACTAGAGTCACAAAAAGCAGACATCAAAGAGGAACATAAATCACAGAGGGAACTGAAATGATCAAATATTTGTATACAATAAGCATCCAAATGTACATTGGTGCGCCAGTGGACAGATTATATTAGCAAATATACATTATTAATGCACCCGTGCACATAAAAACAAACTTTCTATAACACATTGTAATTAAACACATTTTGTGTATATGAAAACAAAAGAACTAAACAGCTAAAAACAATATTTATTTGAGAAATCCCTTTTTGTTAAGCATAATCACAACACAATAGCCAGCTACTGTGAGTCTAGTTATGAATATTACTAAGCAACCGTGAACTTGATCAAAACTCTAATTTACTTTTAAATTTAATGTATTACTTATTGTCTGAATGAAAGACACGTTTACACTCTGCTCTGTGAGCTGAGTGAATCATGTCATAACGAATTAGTTGGAGACTGCAGAGCTTTAGGGCTCGTTCATACAATAGTTGTTTGATTATAGATGAAAGAAGTATCATTTTCTAATAAGATAAAGACAGTATAATTATTGTGGCCTGGTTTGTTGGTGGAGAGTTATTATTATAGATCCATGGATGGAGAGTCTTTAAATTCCCCAGCTCCAAACTCCAACACAATGTAAAAGAAAGGCATTATCCCAGCTAGATTAATAATGTATGGATAGTATTCCAGTGACAGGTCTGGGAGAAAGATTAATTGAATGAAGTAAACAGCCCTCAGAGGAGTAGAGCAGGTTAGCCAACTACCTGACAGTTAGGCTAGCCCTAGCTAATACTTTCCGCCAGTTTAGCTTCAACTTTTTCACATTGCGAACCGCATTTAGACTGGGTAACCTACTAACAACACGTAAGAATTGTAACTTGTGTCCGAATAAACAGTTTAACCTATATGTTCAAAACTGTCTTTAAAGAGCGCAGGCAAGCTAAAAACTAAGTTGATGCTAGTTAGCTGAGAAGGTGGCTAACGTGATACACCTGGCTGTCATCTGCAAACACCAAACACTTAACTAAACAAACAGCTAAAGGTATCGCTAGCAAACCCATTTAACCGACTTAAAGTTAATCAATCTTTATCATTGCACAATTTAATTATTAGTCACAGTTGCTTGAATTACTAGTAACATTTGCCATTGTGTGATCCAAAGGTTTTCCAAATCCAACCCAATATGTTTAGAATAGTTCGCATTTTTCTAGCCTGTACCTTATCGAGTCCCACTTCTAACTCATTTCCTCAAACTTGTACCGAGTTTAAGGTGCTTGCTTATGGTTGATTGAGCATTGGAATGACATCATAACAGTGGCACGATTTTGCACGTCTTTTATGCAAGCGCGAAAAATATGAATGTTTTTGCCCATTACCAGCTGCTGTCGTATCCACCGGAGCATCTTCGCTTCACAGAGCAGCAGGAGCTAGCCCAGCACTAGCAACTAGCTGCTCCAACAAAACCTCTCCAAATCGCCAGTATTCCCCCCGGAAGGATGCTGTCCAGGGCGCATTACGAGGTTTGGGGTTTGGGTTAGGATCCAAAGGGGCTGCTTCAGTGGTGACCGGGGAGATGAGAGGTCTGCAGCAGGAGAGGCAGACGGAGGAGTCCCGGTGAAATACGCCACATCTCCGCTACTGCTACTGCTACTGCTGCGGTTGCTGCTGCTACTGCTGCTGCACGGCCCGGCCCCCGGAGCTCTGTGTGGATGGGCAGTCCCTCCGTGAGCCGAACGCGGCCCCCGTACGCCCCCTGCAGCCCGTCCACGTGCACCTGCAGCTACAGCTTTCAGACAGTTCAGGGCATGGGAAGGTTCTGCTCTACTCTACCCTGCCCTGCTCTAATGTACTTACTGTACTCTACTGTACTCTACACAACTCTACGCTACTCTACTGCACTCTACACTACCCTGCTTTACTGTACTCAACTGTACTCTACACTACTCTACTCTACCCTGCCCTGCTCTACTGTACTCTACACAACTCTACGCTACTCTACTGCACTCTACACTACCCTGCTTTACTGTACTCAACTGTACTCTACACTACTCTACTCTACCCTGCCCTGCTCTACTGTACTCTACACAACTCTACGCTACTCTACTGCACTCTACATTACCCTGCTTTACTGTACTTACTGTACTCAACTGTACTCTACACTACTCTCCTCTACTCTACCCTGCTCTGCTGTACTTACGTACAGTAGAGCAGTGCTCACGTGCACTCTACACTACTCTACTCTATAATCCTGTACTCTACTGTACTCTACACTACTTTATTCACTTAATCCACACTGCTCTACTCTACTCTACGCTATGCTTTACTCTACTCTATCTGTCTTGCTCTACTGTACTTACTGTACTCAACTGTACTCTACACAACTCTACGCTACTCTACTGCACTCTACACTACCCTGCTTTACCTTACTGTACTCAACTGTACTCTACACTACTCTCCTCTACTCTACCCTGCCCTGCTTTGCTGTACTTAACTGTACTCAAATGTACTCTATTCTATACTCCTGTACTCTACTGTACTCTACACTACTTTACTCTACACTACTCTACTCTACCCTGCCCTGCTTTGCTGTACTTAACTGTACTCAAATGTACTCTATTCTATACTCCTGTACTCTACTGTACTCTACTCTACTCTACGCTACAATGCTCTACTCTACTCTATCTGTCCTGCTCTAATGTACTGTATTCTACTCTCATCTACTCTGCTCTACTCTACTTTCCTCTACTCTACTCTACACTGCTCTGCTCTCCCTTCCTACTCTACTCTATACGATACACAAATACATTAAATTGTAGTAACGGCATTACTGGACAGTTCTTGTTTCTCTCATATGTGATATTTGTGATGTAGGTCCTACTCCTACCACATAATCACAGATGGAGAAGTGACATGTTCCCATTTTTCTGTCAAAATCTTTTGAAATGCAGAAGTGACACCTACTATTGAGTCTGAGTCTGTTCTCCGCAGATCTGTTTTTGTTTGTTTCACCAACAAAGGTACAATAAAGAATTAAGGTACAGTGTAGAACAGAAGAAAAGATGACATCACAGTCTGAAAATTATTGCTCTGGAATGAAGACATTTCTGATGATGTCTTTGGCTTTTGGCCCAGACATTTGTTCTCTCTCCTCTGTCCCCTCCATTCTTCTTTCTTCTCCTCTTCTCTCCTCCTCTCTCTCCTCTCCCTCCTCCCCTCCCCTCCCCTCTCCTCTCCTCTCTCCTCCCCTCTCCTCTCTCCTCCCCTCTCCCTTCTCCCCCCCTCTCCTCTTGGCTGCAGACCTCTTGATAAGTCGATATTGTATGCATAATAAAGCATTTAGAGCTGAATGGGCGCCTTTTAAAACACAAAGCTCACATTTTCTAATATCTATCCCCAGTGTCTATATTCAATCTGACATTGTCAGCCCTGCAGATGGGAGAGGCAAGGTCAGGCTTTTTTACATCATTGATTCACAAGTGCTTTATAAAAGAAGGAAAGAAACATGAACACGTAAAACAGTAATAATCACAGAATTTATGAAAGAAAAGCCCAGATTTGAAGTTTGCCAGAGTAGAAGCCTGTCTCAAAGTCCCAGCAGGAGGCCAGTCAGTGAGCTCCTCAGAGTTCCACAGCAGGAGGCCAGTCCCTGTGCTCCTCAGAGGGTTCATATTGCACTAACATGTCACATATGTACTTTGGTGCGAGGCCATGGAGAGACTTGTAACAAGCAGAACAAGGTAATCTGCTTTAAGTTCTATTCTCTGAGCCTCAGGAAGCAGAAACCTGAGACCAGGACTAATTTGATCTTACTTCCTGGTTCTAGTCAGGACTTGAGCTGCAGCGTTGAGAATATACTGCAGGTGTTTAAATCTTGTTTGGAGAGAGCAGTGAGCAGACAATGTGTCTCAGTATGTGTGTTCAAGTTTAAGTCTAAGTAATGTGTTAAGTTTAAGTGCAAGTAACTGATGTAAAAGTTTTACAGAGAGAGTCTGAATTTGTTTTAAGCCTGAGGACTGAGATCCCGTTTTATTTCAATTCAACTCAATGTACAGTATTTGTGTGTCGCCCTAAATCACAACCACAGTCATCACAGGACTTTTCAAAGATTCAGCACAGATCAGAGAATCACACCGTTTTAACAGCAGTGACATTTTACATGAGACTGAATAGGAAGTGCTGAACATGAAAAAATACTATGTTGTTTAGTAAAGAACATGACAGTGTGTGTTTCTCCTCGTTTGTCTCGAGCTTCTCTCCTCTCGGCTCCATCCTCAGCTGCAGGTCTTCGGTGTCATGTCGGACTGTAAACCTGCTCTTAATCCAGCGTGTGATAATCTCTGCAGTGGTTTATGTAATCACAACATCTGGAGCCGCTGCACAAACACTGTGACATCACAGTTAGATTCTAGAAACCTGAACCCATCCTGTGTCCTGGGTCAGAACACCTCCAGACGTTCATAAGGCATCCCAAACAGATGAGCCACCTCCACTGGCTCCTCGCCACATGGAGGAGCAGCAACTCTACTCTGAGCTCCTCCTCTTCAGGACGGACCTCTGCTCCTGGAGAGGGAGAGGCCCCTGTATGAAAGAGTTGTTTTTTAAAGTCGGATCTTTAGTCCATAAATCCCATAATTTTTCCAGTGTGATCATAAACATTTAGAAAACAGCAACTGAAGGATATTTTAGCACAAGATTTTATTGAAAATATTCATTCTTTAGTGAGACTTTCTGGTCTCTCTGGATCCAAAAAGCTTCCTTCTCTAGCTTCCTTCCAGACAACTCTATCTCATAGCTCTAGTTTTCACATGCATTTAGCTTTAGTCACATAATTAAATCAGCTTTTTCAGACTGAAAAGTGAAAGAGAGAGGACCACCCTCACTCAACCAATCACCTCTCAGCCCAAAGAGTCAATTAGGGACACATAGGGCTTTACCTCACAAGTCTGGGTAAGATAACATGTTGTCTAACAGAATACAGACAAGTAATGTAATGTTGTATGTAATGTTGTCTGATTTGTTCACAAAGTTAGGTATCCCAGCTTTAATGAGGTATTTCAATCTGATGGTGTGTTTCTCAGATATGAATTATAATATAATCTTATATAAATACACACAGCCTGTAATACTGGTCATATTCCCTTTCCTTCATCCTGGATTTACAGAGAACAGCTGCCTCATCATGCAAGATGGTGTTTCCCTCTAGTGGTAAAAAATAGTCACTACAGATGCCTTCCTCATGAACCCAGCCGGAGCAGAGACTTTCTGAGTGGAGTTTGCATGTTCTCCCCATGTCTGTGTAGGTTTCCCCCGGTTTCCCCTACCTTTAAACATGCAAAATAGATAACATCCTCCAGCTTTGGTTCTGACTAAGCCAAGCCTATACATCTGGAGATGGTTCCCAGGCGCTGTACTAGCAACCACTGCTCATGAAGGAGGGCTAATGGCCTCAGGATGGGTCAAATGCAGAGGATGAATTGCTCTATGAGGATACAAGTGGTTCACCTTTATCTAAACCTGCTCCTGGAGGAAAATCACATCTGTCACTGTCACAAACGGTTGAATCCCATCTCCCTTAGAGAGGTTGAGGAGTTCAGTCACTCAGGACCCCCGCGTGCCCCTGGCTGCGCCTAGAAATTCTGTCCATGAAGACAGTGAACAGGACCGGTGACAAAGGGCAGCCCTGGCGGAGGCCAACATGCACCGGGAACAGGTCTGACCATTTAATCCATTGAAAATACCTGTAGCCTCAGTCCTGGATCTACAGCCTCAGTCATCCCTGACACAAAAACATGAAACTGAATAGATATGTTGTATGTACTGTGATGATGTTGTATGATTTCTATTTTGTGTGATTTTAATGTTTCTTATCTTGTTTTGTTCAGCACTTTGAGTGTGAGTTTGTGAATGAACTGTGCTATACAAATAACCTTCCCTTACCCTTTGTCACATGATTGTATGTTTGTATTTGCTTGGAATGCAGAATGCGATGCCTTCTCTAATTATCAGACAAAAGATAAGATGCAATGTTTGAGTAATAAATAATAAAAGCCTCATTGTGACATAGGAGAAAAGTCCAGACCCCCATGGACCATCTAACGCACCCACAGCAGTGACCTCTCCATGGGCCACTGCCACCTGCCTCCCCCTGCGTCCGCCCCCACTGATGAGTTACCCACAGGAGTGATGGGGTTCTGGGTCACAGGACGAGGAGGTCAGAAGCTCCAGAGAAACCCTATCCTCCACACCTGGGCACACAGCAGCAGAGACAGAAGTCTGAACACAATTTTTTTTTACAGTCATGTGAGGTTACAGTGGGGGAGATCAGATGTTCTAGACCACAACCTTCTCACCAACTACTCCCTACATGTTCCTTATGTCCAGAGTGCAAAATACTCGTCAATATTCAGGGGGGTCCCTGCTTTTTTTTCACGCACACACACACACACACACACACACACACACACACACACACACACACACGCACACACGCGGTTCAGTGTTAGAAGCTATAGTTCAGAGACCTCACTGAGTGTTACTGGCTTCATTCGCCCATCACTAAAAAACAGCGTTTCACATTGACTCAAAAAAGACCAAATATGCCTCGGCTGCACTTCTTCGGTTTCCAAGCAGAAGAGAGACTATGTACTGCCTTTATCCAACTTCTGACAAATGGAAATGGGTCCCTTTATCTCCACAACCAAGAGTTTATGTCCACAAACCGGGGTTTAGGTTTGGTACTCGGTCCCCTCCTCTTTATCATTTACATCCTTCCCCTCGGCTGCATCATTCGTCACTATGGACTCAATTTTCACTGCTATGACGATGACACTCAGGTTTACATTTCCACCAAATCCATCACCCCAGTCATCCTCTCCACCATCACACACTGCATTTCTGACATTAGAAAAATGGACTACAAAAACACATCCTCACCGCACCCAAATCCCTCCTCCCCTCTGCCCAGAACATCTCCCTCATCATCAATGGCCACTCTGTCCCTCCCTCCCCCTCAGTGCGCAAACCTCAGCGTTATACTGGACTCCACCCTTACATTCAAATCACACATAAACTATATCACCAAAACAACCTCTTTCCACCTTCGCAACATCACCTGTCTCCGCCCCTCCCTCACACAATCCACCGCAGAAATCCTCATCCGTGCCTTCATCACATCCAGACTTGACCACTGCAATAGCCTCCTCTACGGTCTCCCTTCCACTCATCTCCAAAAACTGCAATACATCCAGAACTCTGCCGCCCTGGGGCCAGATAAAGGTTTAATTTATTTGGAAAAGAACAGCAAAAAACGTAAGAAATGGTTGAGAGCGATCAGGAAAATGAACGCTCAGAAGAAAGCCCGGGGCGACAGTAGCTCAGTTGGTAGAGCATTGGCCTTAAGGCCAGAAGGACGTGGGTTCAATTCCCACCTCTGCACCTTCTCCACCGACTCCCACTGATGACTGCTGTCGTTGTGTCCTTGGGCAAGACACTTAACCCCACTTTGCCCAAAGCCCCCACTGAAAGATCAAGGCTATGCTCACACTCAGAGAGCAGCCGTCCTCCTGTGGACTCACCACCTGCAGAGGGTCAGTGAGGGGCTGGTGCTATGAGACTTGGGTGGCATCTCTGATTGCCACCCCCCTGACCCAGAAATGGATTAAAGGGTAGAAAATGGATGGATGGAAGAAAGCCCGGATTCTGGGATCATCAGAAAGAACTTACCCGGGTCTCATTTGGGCTTTGGGGTTTGGTCTCCTATACTTATTTTTAGTTTATATTATTATCTTCTTCTATCTTCTTGCCTCAAAGTCCGTACATACAGTGCATTTCGACCACTAAGTCTTTTAAAAGTACTTGTCGCATCCATGCTTTGGTATGTGCCGCTCTGTCTTCTTGCCACTCAGCGAGTGTTGCATGCGCACGCAGATGTGAAGATAGATCTTCCTATATGAACTCTATAGCGCCACCTGTCACAAAATAATAGGGCACTAGTGCTCTAATCGGCCCGAAGATTGCTGAGTGTAATCTCTGAAACCAAGACAAGCAAAACATTACATTACGCAAAAGTTGTTAGTCCCACACCTGACCACTGGGAGCAGCCTGAATTTTTTGAATGAGCTTTTTGAGCACAATGTTTGTCCGATGAGGCTAGAAATGATATAAATAAATACAGTGTATGACCCTGAACACAACGATATGACGAGTGCAACAGCGCCACAGACAGTTGTGTTTTTTAATTGGTGCAGAGACCATGTCATTTATCCATCTGGACAGATTGAAGTTATACAGATTTCAAGAAGAAGTCAGAAATTCTTCACCGTTTGCATGCGAAGTGGTGGGGAATTTCTCGATGTTTTATGCTCTCTTGGCCACAGGCTCAGACCTACAGAGCTGAAACTCACATCACTAACCGTTGGTAATGGCTGAGCGTAATGGTGTGAAAGTTCACACCTAATATGACTCTAGAGCGCCACCTATGGGAGGCTTCCGATCTAAACTTTTTTGATCCTCACCAAAGTCGCATGTGCCAGAGGTGACCACTAGGGGTGCACTGAATCCTATTAATGAGCTTTTCCATGCGCAATCTTGGTCCTATTGGGCTGCAAATTCATCGGCTGGTACACCGCATGCTGCTTATGGGACTGGCACCTGGTAGGCGGCTGTGAGAGGGGCCAGGGCTTTCATTGCCGCTTGCGGCTTTAATTAATATTATTATTACACTAATTGCATATTATTATTTGCAGTGTATTCAAAATGTTGCAGCTCCAGTCCTGACTAAAGGAAGTCCTCTCACATAAGTCCAGTTCCCAGGTCTCTGCTTCCTGTGACTCAGAGAATAGACTTTTACAGCTCTGCAAGTCTGTGACATGACCCAGACTCTGAGGAGCACAGGGACTGGCCTCCTGCTGGGACTCTGAAGAGCACAGGGACTGGCCTCCTGCTGGGACTCTGAAGAGCACAGGGACTGGCCTCCTGCTAGGACTCAAGGCCCGAGATTGAATACAACAAAATATATTAAAAGTAATCGTAATGAAAACCTTTGTTCAGAACTTTCATCAGGGAGGTGTATTTGCTTAATTAAAAACTGAGGAATATTTTAACATTCCTATTTGATGAAGAATAATGAAACCTCACAGTAAAGACACATGCTTAAACCATAGACTGTAAATATTAACGGATGTGAAAACAAAAAAACCCATTCACGCACGCATTAGCCGGCCCCAAACTCTCTGTGTGATGATTCCAGTTTATATTGACTGTAGTTACAGAGTGAAGCTTTAAATCCAGCCTCCAGACACTCAGTGAAAGTACAGACGGATTGATCAAGAAGAAAAAACTTTGCTACAGTGACTTTATAAAGAGTCTGTTTCTCCGGTTGAAGCTGGAGTCCAAAGAGACGTCCGACAGTCGCTTTGTTTCTTCAGGTGTCTGATGTTTATTCTGCACATTCTCCACTGGAGCTGGAGGAGAACCCACACACACCCACACACACACACACACAACAACACACACACACACACACACACACACACCAAGGAGCACCACCATACAGGTACAGACACCTCCAGCACCAGAGGGCCCCGCAGACTTACACAGGTTAAAGTGATGTATTGAAAGAGGCCAAGCACCGACATGAAAGCTCCATCAGCAAAAGCAGACAGCACTACACACGTTTAGAGACGAGCTGTCAGGACCTCTGTGTGAGGTACACACACACACACACACACACACACACACACACACACACACACACACACACACACACACACAGTTACTGAGTTTACATTTATATATAAGTCAATAGTCTGTGTATTAGGAGAGGGCGGACCAAGGAGTGTGACATGACCACAGTTAGCCTTAAAGCGGAAGAGGAAGATAAGATTAGCTACATTTATTGATCTCACAATGGAGAAATACATGTCACATTGGCATAGATCGAATCACTCAGGTGGAAAAAGACAGGAAATGTGGAAACATGTTGTGAAGGTTAAAGTATAGTGCAAGATACATTATGTGCAAGGCAGAATGGAAACGTAAGCTGAAGCCAGTTTCTTTTGAATGAAGGCCTCTGATTGGTCAATCCTTATCTCGCTCATTTCTGGATTTACAAAACAACATCACAATGTATTGAGACTCAAGTGTGAATGGTGACAAACCTCAAAACATGTCGACTTTTAGAATAAAACTGTTGGAATCTGTGTGTGAGATTGATGCTCTCAGGTTGCCATACCTGCAGGTCAAAGCCAGATCCTGTCAGACCTGGATCCTGTCAGACCTCTGATGCTAAGCAGGACAGGGGCTGGTTAGTGCTTTGATGGGAGACCTCTGGGAACACCAGGTGCCACAGTGGGGCGGCTGCGGCTGTAAAGTGCCAAACGTTACAAGTCTGTTCTTAGGCAAGACACTTCACCCACATTAAAACGAGTCTGGTGTGTGTGCGAATGTTTGGTGGTGGTGGCAGGGGCTAATGGCACATACTGGTTGCCAGGGCAGCTGTGGCTACAATAGTAGTTTATCACCACTGTGTTCGGAGTGAAAGAATAATGATATGATCCGTCTTTGAGAGTCCAGAAAAGCACTGCATAAAACTGATTATTATTATTATTATTATAATTGTCATTATTATTATTATTATTATTATTATTATTACTATTATGTTTAACTCCTGGATGATCTTTCAGCAGCGTCGTGCACTCCTCTGTCAGTCAGTGCACCTGAGCAGACATGGGAGGGGAGGCCCAAGGGGGTCAGGACCACCCACCTCGCTCCTTATCAGAAGCCGCTTCACACTGGCCTTATCGCACTGATAGGAGCGAGACGGCAGGTATTTGATGTCAGTGAGGAAACACACGACGGCGGGTGAATAATAATAACAGCAGTTTTTGGGGTTTTTGAAGGTTGTGTTTTTGGGTCTGGGCTCGTCACCTGCTGGATAATCATCAGTCCACACACATACGCTGTGAGAGAGAGAGCAGAGAACACAAACTGTCAAGATGGAAACACAGCAGACATAACAGAGAAGGCAGCACTGAGGCTTTAATGTCTCTGCTGACAATCACTGAGGCTGAAAGTCTGTGCCAGACTTTACAGAAACACAGACACCAGCTTTAGTCGAGTTTAGGACATTATAATTTAGCTTGAGAAATATTCACAACGCACACAAAATAGGCTCTTTATTATGGTCTTTCTGATTTCTCTCTCTCTGATCTCTCTCTTGGGTTTCTCTCACTGGTCTCTTTCTGGTCTTTCCCTGGTCTCTCTCTCTGGTCCCTTTTTTGGGTCTCTCTGGTCTCTCTCTCTGCTCTCTCTCTGGTCTCTTTCTGGTCTCTCTCTCTCTCTCTCTCTGGTCTTTCTCTGGGGTTATTTAATTTGAGTATAGAGTTCTTGTTCACTTATCTTGTGTTGTGTTAATAGTTGATTCATCTTTAATTTATCCCTATGCAAACTTCCACACATTTATTTGTTGAGAGAAGCACAAACAGACAAGTAATTGCACCGAAAAATAATTATTTATTGTGTAAATGTCGATAAAAATGTTTTCTTGTGGCTTTACTGGATCAAACTGAGATAAAACATCTAAACGACTAATCAATGATTTGGAATAATAATTGCCGGATTAATCAATTGTCAAAATGACCGTTAGTAGAAGAACTTAAGACTTGAGGCAGAGGAAGTGTCTGGGGAGGGGGGAGTCTCTCTGTCTCTCTACTCCCTCCACGACCCATTGAAATGAATGGATGTTATTCCTCCCATATCTGCCTCACATACCTGACCTGGGCACATCACACGGCTGTGGAAAGACCCGTGCTGTCGCTGGGGGTTCCGGCCCGGTGTGCGAGGCGCGTGGGCAGACGTGGGTGAGGAGGGGGGAGACGGGGGAGATGAGGGTGAATGGGGGTGTGTTGGAGGGGAGGGAGGGGGGAAGGAAGCAGTTGTTTGGTCTGGGAGTGATAGCGGCTCTCAGTAAACATGCAGGTGGTCCACACACACACCTGACTCCACTTGTATCAGACCCCAGAGAGAGAGACCAGAGAGAGACCAGAGAGAGAGACCAGAGAGAGACCAGAGAGAGACCAGATAGAGACCAGAGAGAGAGACCAGAGAGAGACCAGAGAGAGACCAGAGAGAGAGACCAGAGAGAGACTAGAAAGAGACCAGAGAGAGACCAGGGAGAGACTAGAGAGTGACCAGAGAGAGAGAAACCAGATAGAGATCAGACAGAGATCAGAGAGAGACCAGTGGGAGACAAGAGATAGACCAGAAAGAGACCAGAGAGAGACCAGAGAGAGACTGGAGAGAGACTAGAAAGAGACTAGAGAGAGACCAGAGAGAGACTAGAGAGAGACCAGAGAGAGACCAGTGGGAGATCAGAGAGAGACCAGAGAGAGACCAGAGAGAGACCAGCGAGAGACTAGAAAGAGACCAGAGAGAGACCAGTGGGAGATCAGAGAGAGACCAGAGAGAGACCAGAGAGAGACCAGAGAGAGACCAGAGAGAGACCAGAGAGAGACCAGAGAGAGACCAGAGAGAGACTAGAAAGAGACTAGAGAGAGACCAGAGAGAGACTAGAGAGAAACCAGAGAGAGACTAGAGCGAGAGACTAGAAAGAGACCAGTGGGAGACAAGAGATAGACCAGAAAGAGACCAGAGAGAGACCAGAGAGAGACCAGAGAGAGACCAGAGAGAGACTGGAGAGAGGGACCAGAGAGAGGGACCAGAGAGGGACCAGAGAGAGAGACCAGAGAAACTGGAAAGACACCCGAGAGAGACCAGAGAGTGAGGCCAAACATACCTACTTACAAACAAAACAACTTTATTTCAATGGATTATAGTACATAACTCTATTATTGCAGTTTTAAAGTTAGGTACCCCAGCTTTATTGTTAAACAAAATCTGCTGCAAGTTACAATCGTCAGTTTCACATTACCTTACTGCTATTGCTCCGATGACCAGAAGGTGGCAGTCCACACCCAGGAATGTGAGTCACAGCAAAACTCAAAAGAACAGGCCCTGACAAAATACTGTCGCAGCTCATTGTACTTTTATTAACTTTATCAACTTTAAAGTCAAGCCGTGAAATGTATTCAAATATAACATTATGCCGACAACAACTATGGTCCCAAACGCCATCTGTTGTTACTCTGGAAAAAGGGACAAAAAATAAGTCAAAAGTTTCTCAAATTTGGAAAAAAAACGTATCTTACTTTGAGCACATTCTGACTGCCTTAAAACAAGAGTTGCCAATGGGACAAAGCAAACTTACCTTGTTTTAAAATGATACAAGAAATGTCTCCCTTGGAATGAGAAAATAATGCAGCTGTTCTTGAAAAAATAATAAATGGCTTTGTCCCATTGGTAAATATGTCAAAATGTAATCAAATTAAGATAAAAACCACTTTATTCAAGCAGTTTTTACCTCATATTTAATACATATATATTTTTTGCTGTGTGTGTCTCATCCCTTGTTGCCTTTTGTGACACTTAAAGCTGGGGAACCTAATTCAAACCACCAACAACGAACCTATAGATGAATATATAAGATCTGATAAAGTAGCATGGTTCCATCACTAGTTGGTTGCACGTGTGAGAGGCCTCTGTCTCGACTTTTGATCAGCTTTTTCCGACAGAAAAGTGAAACAGAGAGGACCACTCTCACTGGGGCTCTCTCTTACATGCAAAAGATAATTCTATTCTTTTCAATTGTCTTGTGTATTGCCCTAAATCACAACAACAGTTATCTCGGAGGACTTTACAATGTTGTCAGTTTGCCAGCACAGATCAGAGAATTAATAAAATGAGGGAAGTTTGTTTTTATAGCACAATTCATACACAAGGCGACTCAAAGTGCTGAACAGAACAAGAAAGAAACAATCGTTAAAATCCTAAATAATCACATTAAAATAGTGAAGATACAATCCTTCAGTTGTTGCAGCTAAACAGAACTGTTTTATCCTGGATTTGAACATTGTCAGAGAAGATGCCGGTCTCACATTTTCAGGGAGACTGTTCCAGAAATTAAAAACACATACAGTAGAGCCATTGTTCCATAAGGGGCAGATGATCAATGTCCAGAAATGTTAATAAAAAACAAAATTACACTTTTTCTATTGAGATGAAGACAGAATGCTGTGGTCTGTAATGAGTGACTTTCTACATTTTATTTTAATGTTATTCAAACTGGACATTCACAGTAACCCAGTTTGAGACCAGAGAGAGACCAGAGATACACCAGAGAGACCAGAGAGAGAGACCAGAGAGAGAGACCAGAGAGAGAGAGAGACCAAAGAGAGACCAGAGATACACCAGAGAGACCAGAGAGAGGGACCAGAGAGAGAGACCAGAGAGAGACCAGAGATACACCAGAGAGACCAGAGAGAGGGACCAGAGAGAGACCAGAGAGAGACCAGAGATACACCAGAGAGACCAGAGAGAGGGACCAGAGAGAGAGACCAGAGAGAGACCAGAGATACACCAGAGAGACCAGAGAGAGGGACCAGAGAGAGAGACCAGAGAGAGACCAGAGATACACCAGAGAGACCAGAGAGAGGGACCAGAGAGAGAGACCAGAGAGAGAGACCACAGAGAGACCAGAGATACACCAGAGAGAGAGACCAGAGAGAGAGAGAGACCAAAGAGAGACCAGAGATACACCAGAAAGACCAGAGAGAGAGAGACCAGAGAGAGAGAGAGAACAGAGAGAGACCAGAGAGACCAGAGAGAGACCACAGAGAGAGAGACCACAGAGAGACTAGAGAAAGAGACCAGAGAGAGACCACAGAGAGACTAGAGAAAGAGACCAGAGAGAGACCACAGAGAGACCACAGAGAGACCAGACAGAAACCAGCGAGAGACTAGAGACCAGAGAGAGAGACCAAAGAGAGACCACAGAGAGAGACCACAAAGAGACCAGACAGAGACCAGAGAGAAACCAGAAAAAGACGATAGAGACTAGAGGGAGACCAGAGAAAAAGACCAGAGAAAGAGACCAGCATGGGTGACTAGAGGGAGACTAGAGGGAGACTAGAGCGAGACCAGAGAGAGACTACAGAGAAACCACAGAGAGAGACCAGAGAGAGAGAGAGAGAGACCACCCTCACTCAGCCCAAAGTGTAGGCCTCTCTCTTACAAACATACAATTAAAGTCAATTCAATGTTGTGATTCTGTACATTTAATTCTAATTCAAACTGGACATTCGCTGTACCCCAGGTTGAGAAGCACTTAATGAGACAATTGCAGATTGGACTTATTTTCTTTTTCAGTTCCTGTAAAAAAGGGATCAAACATGTTGTAATTTAAATGTGTTTCCATCAGCGATGGACAGAAAACATGATTGAACTTGTGTAATGTAGAAAACAGATTCTCACAGATCTGCGGCTCACGGCGACAAGATCGAAAACTTCTGCTTTTCAAAACAATAATGTAAGCGCAGTGTTCCTGGTTCAAATTTTCTAAAAAATAACCGACAATAAGTAAATCCTTGAAATAACAACTCTATGTTTTAATGCTGTAAAACTCCTCAAGTACTTTATACATCGCAAAAAGTGATGAAAAGAAGTGCAAATTTAATCCTAATTCGAGCACATTCTGAGGGCCTTAAAACAAGATTTTCTAATGGGACAAAGCCAATTTATCTTGTTTTAATAAGATACAAGAAATGTCTCCCTTCGAATGAATAATTTAACAGTTCTTGATATAAGACTAAATGGCTTTGTCCCATTGGCAGAGACCAGAGAGAGACAAGAGAGATCCAGCCTCAGTCCTGTTTTTCTTAGTGATTCCCCTCTTAAGCAGGAGGGTCTAAGGTAGGGGTCTCTAACCTGTAGCTCGGAATAAATTTCAATTCAATTTATTCTTGTATAGCCGTAAATCACAACAGTATAATCTCAACGGAACCATTGAAATCGCCAAAACAGATCAGAGAATCAAACAATTCAAACACAAATAATAGCGAACACATTGGTATTGGTCCATGGGGGAGTTGACCAATGTCCATAAATGTTGTTGAATGTTGAGTGTCCTGGATCATCACCATCCACCGGGATCTATACCGGAAACTTGCCAAAGGATTTAAAAATTAACAAAACAAATATATCAAATTATAACATAATAATACTGGACTGTGGTCATCCTGCTCCCTACAGACCTATGGCTCATATGTGTTTGTTATTTTTGGATTTCCTGTGTTTAAAACGGTTTGATTCTCTGATCTGTTTTCTCAATCTATCTGTCTGTTGAAAATCCTTGTTCCTAATTTAAAGGAAATAGTTTTGTTTTAATGTCATAAACCGGCTTTGACCTTGAACATCCATGGATTTAAGTCTTAAAGAGAAGCTTTGAGACGTGTTCCCAGGTCAGAATCAGACCCGGCGTGGTGTTTGACCAGAGGACACTGTCGTAGCTTGGTTAAAAAGCTTCAAAAAGAGTGTTTTGCATAATGTGTGCGTTTGTGTGTGTGTGTGTGTGCTGTTTGAAACTGTTCCTGCGGCGGCGTCTGTCCACACGCTTCACCACAAAGCGCTAAAGAGGTCTCTGCGACAATGGACGAGCCCAAAACTCCATCCCTGCTTTTCTGAAGCTGCGTGAGACAATATTGACCCAGTATGAAAGCACCGAGACTGCAGCTGCACAGAGCAAACAGGCCGATCATGGGACAGGGAGGAGGGGGGAGGAGAGGGGAGGAGAGGGGAGGAGAGGGGAGGAGGGGAGAGGGAGGTGTGGAGATCTGTCCCACAGGTGGAGACTGTACAGCTCTGCGTCAAAAGACAAACACACATGCATGCACACACACACACACACACACACACACACACACACACACACACACACACACACACACACACCCTCAGGCCACTCGGCAAAGCTCCTATTTAGAGAATGAGGTCAATATTGGTGAGTGTAATCCTGATAAATAGCCTCCTGAGACCAGAGAACAAGAGTGAGGCCTTTTTCATTTGAATTTAACACCGGCTGCTTTTCTTCAGACGTTGACACTTATGTTTGTCGTAAGTAATTGTAGTTCTAGAAAGGAGACTTATTAAACATGTTACAGCAGCACTGTAAAAAGAAATAAAAATTAATTCAAAAATTGCTCAAATTTGGCAAAATGTGTCTTACATTCTGACTGCCCTAAAACACTATTTGCCAATGGGACAAAGCAAAATTATCTTGTTTTAAAAGTGATCATCTCCCTTGGAATGAGAAAATAAAGCAACAGTTCTTGAAAGAACACTAAATGGCTTTATCCCATTGGCAAATCTAAAAACTATACTACGTGATGTGAGAGACCAGAGACAGATCAGAGACAGAGACCAGAGAGGGAGACCAGCGAGAGAGACCAGAGAGAGTTCAGAGACCAAAGAGAGAGACTAGTTTTTACACCGTCAGAATATACTCAGATGAAGATAAAAACACTCGATTCAAGAAATTATTGCCTCATATTTTATCATTTTTTGCAGTGCAGTAGTTCTTACAAAATTAATTATCTTCCTCCCTCTGGTGGCAGTACAGGGAGTTACTGGCGGAAAGCGTTATTGACTCTCAGACTTGTTTCTTCATTTATTTTCTACTGACGATATTTGATCACATTCTAAAACATGAAATGACAAAGTAACAAATCTCATTATAATTTTAAAGAATAACGATAAAGCATATTATGTCTTCTTTAATAGTTTGGTCAAGTTTGGCTGTAATCTTCCAGTTCCTCACTCTCAAATAGTTTGGCTCTCTCACTAGTTTTTACATGCATGTACTGTTTGGCCTCTGTCACATGATTAGGCAAGACATCTTTTCCTTATAAATAAATAATCAGAATTCTTTTTACTGCCATTGTAAGTACCAGGCAGTCACAAACTAGGAAAGTGCTTATCTCAAGGTGCAAACAAGTTTTGAAAAATATATGAGGAATGCATAAACAATCTTAAACATTAAGCTAAAACGAAAATTCAGAGGAAGTCAGGAAGATCTCAGCCTCGTTCCGTGCACCCTGACACTCTGGAAATGCCATGTTCCAGATTCTTCCCTCTTCCCACAAACTGTTATCAGTCTGAACAAAGTACTTTCATGATCTTTACTTGAATTGAAGCTGTTTTTGTTGCTCACAGTGATGATTGTTTCTTGTGATTTTTATTATTATTATTATTAGTGCTGTCCAACGATTAAAATATTTAATCGCGATTAATCGCATGAATTTCATAGTTAACTCGCGATTAATCGCAAATTAGTCACACATTTGCGTGCTGTGTGCAATTGCTTTTTTTATTGAAAACAATGTGTAGTGTTATATTACACACTAACATTTGATGCAAAATCATCAATAAATGGATGACAAAATAAATAATTGGTAACAAAAAGCCCCTTCAATGTGTGTGTGTGGGTGTGTGTGTGTATGTGTGGGTATAGACCATAGACTGTATAGAAACATCATGGTGTCATTATGATGATGATAAACAATCTGTAAATATTTTGTAAATTTGTTCATGTAAATACTCTATGCTGTTTCTCTGTTTACCTTCGGTATATCTATGACTGTATACTGTTTGCTTGTATTGCCTTTTTTATTAACCCCTCCCCCCATCTCCCACTTCATGTCCCCCCCCCCCCCCTCCCCTCCTATGTGCCCTTCTGGGTTTCTTCTTTGGCCCCCTGTATCTCCAACTACATATTGTTTGTAATCTCTGTCTACAATGTATCTGAACTAGTCCTTTTCTTTGTTTCTATGTGTTTGTCTGCAATAAAAAGTAAAAAAACAAAAAACAAAAAAAACAAAAAAAATCTTTTTTTTTTTTTTTTTTTTTTTTTATCGCGCGATAAAAAAAATGACGGCGTTAATATTGATTTGCGTTAACGCGTTAATAACGCGCTATTTTGGACAGCCCTAATTATTATTGAACTCATAATACATAAAGGTCTGATGCACACTGGGGACTTTTACACAAGTATTCCAATGGGGTTTTACTGCAAATGACAAATACTGAATCTGAGTCACGACTTCACAAACTGATCTCAGAGCGAGGAAGTGGCTCCATGGATTTTCCTACATAGTAACTTTGTTTGTGGTGTGAAATTCTCCCCCATGAAAAAGTCTTGTTCCGTGCAGTTACAGTCTCCCTTCAGAGCAGCAACAGTCTCCTCTGCCAGTCCTCTGACAGGATGACTAAACGCCCTGAACCCCAGGAACAAAGCCCCATATGCCCACCCTGTACCCATGCCAGTCCCCCCCACCCTCTCTGGACCCCCACCCTCTCCGGAACCCCCCCCCTTCCAAAGGCAAAGCTAATTTTGTTGCTAGGTTTTAAGTCCTGGCTCTGCTCCAGACCTTGTGTTTTGGGTGGAGTGGACTGTTGGACTTGGGTTTTGGTTGAATTTCATCATGCAAAAAAAGGAGCAGGAGGAGGAGGTGCAGGTGGAGGATCGTTTGTTATAAAGAGACATATTCCTTTTAACCAGAATCAAATAGTTTTTAATAAATCAATCCACGCTGATAGTTGGAACTTCTGATACAATTCATTTCAATGTATTTGTGTCTTGCCCTAAATCACAGCAGCAATTTTCTCTAAGGACTAAAAAGTTGTGGATTCACCAAAACCATTGGTCCATATAGGGAGCGGGATGACTGAGGCTGTAGATCCAGGACTGAGACTGTAGATCCAGGACTGAGGCTGTAGACCCAGGACTGAGGCTGTAGATCCAGGACTGAGACTCTAGATCCAGGACTGAGGCTGTAGATCCAGGACTGAGGCTGTAGATCCAGGACTGAGGCTGTAGACCCAGGACTGAGGCTGTAGATCCAGGACTGAGGCTGTAGATCCAGGACTGAGGCTGTAGACCCAGGACTGAGACTGTAGACCCAGGACTGAGGCTGTAGACCCAGGACTGAGACTGTAGACCCAGGACTGAGGCTGTAGATCCAGGACTGAGGCTGTAGATCCAGAACTGAGGCTGTAGACCCAGGACTGAGACTGTAGACCCAGGACTGAGGCTGTAGACCCAGGACTGAGACTGTAGACCCAGGACTGAGGCTGTAGATCCAGGACTGAGGCTGTAGATCCAGGACTGAGAGTGTAGAGGAGCTTAACTTACTGTTCTCCTCCAGAAAATGAAATTGATCCAAGGAGAGGAACTATGTAAAATATGTTGATTTTTGAAAATGTCTAACTTGAGGTGTCACTACATGGTCATAGGTGAAATACAATTGAAGTTGGTGATATAATCTTTAATGAGTTCTCAGTCCTGGATCTATCTCTGTAGCATCACTCCAGGAGCACGCACCTTTGCCGTCTGTCTGGGTCTCTCCTCTTCTGGTTTAGACCCAGACAGACGAACCCCATCCTAAAATTCTCTAAATCCCATTGGCTTCGGTGCAGAATGAGTTCAGAATTAAGTCGTTGTCCCCAGATTACCATCCGCTCATAATTAATGCTGTAAATCCTGTCAGTTTGTGCTAACACCAGTCTGAGTGACGAGGCTTCAATGTGATGTCACTGATTAGGAGCAGAACATTAGGTTTTCCGGCTCCCTCTTCACTAACTCTCAAGGATGTTGGTGTTCATATAGAAGAAACACACCAGAGAATCTAACTCTAACCCTCACTTCAGTTAAATACAACAAGGACCGAAGATGAAAGTGTCTTTCTGCCTGTCTAAAGATAGACAGGTAGATAGACAGATAGATACACACACACACAGACAGACAGACGGACACACACAGAGACAGACAGACAGCCACAGACAGACAAACAGCCACAGACAGACAGACACACACACACACACACACACACACACACACAGACAGACAGACAGCCACAGACAGACAGACAGACACACACACACACACACACAGACAGACAGACAGCCACAGACAGACAGACAGACACACACACACACACAGACAGACAGACAGCCACAGACAGACAGACAGACACACACACACACACACACACAGACAGACAGACAGACAGACAGCCACAGACAGACACACACACGCACAAACAGAGACAGACAGCCACAGACAGACAGTCATACACACAAGCACACACAAACAATATTTATTCCAGAAAACAAGGGGAAATTCAGGTGACCATCCGATGAGGCTCGGACTCAGGATTCTCTGGGAGATCATTCCTCGGAACATTTTAAAGAAAAACAATTGTCATACAACTATTTACCTTTATTTAACCAGGAAAGCCCCACTGAGAACCAAGTCCAGGCCTCAGAGAGAGAGAGGAGCTAATGTACATGTTTTTAGAAGTAGAGGAAACCTAAACAGACACAGGGAGAACATGCAAACTCCACTCAGAAATACATATACAGTACATATAACCAGTTTTTGCCTTATTTTTTTAGACAGAAAAGTGAAAAAGGACAACCCTCAAGAAAACATGTTTTATTAGCTACTTTAAATGTTCTGTGACAAACAGCATGGGTTATTCCTGAAGCAAAAACGTTGTATACTTGAGTTTTAAATCTTAATACTGTCGCTTTCATTTCCACAAATCCTTCAGCTATAAAACTGTCGGTCTATCTATCTATTTGTCTCCCTGTGTCTCTCTCTCCTCCTCCATCCTCCAGACTGTTATTCCCACTTCAGCCCATTTCCATGAGGCTTGTTCTATCCCACTCCAAACATTCCCCTCTCTGTCTTTTCAATCGGACCTCACTCTCTCCAAACGACTGCGTGCAGATTGAAAGCACAAGCTAACAGATCCACGTAAATGACATAATGGGCTGTTCCAGAGTGACCCCCATCCGCCCCCTGTACTCCCAGTGCTCTTACTGGTAATGAGGCTGCATCCATCTGGGAGGCCGCCACTGAAACATGCTATTAATAACACGTTTGAATAAGTGCGAGTGGAAGCGGCGCCCACTGCATATCTCTGTGTTGTTTGTGAAGAGATTTTTATATCTGCAAGACGCATTTTCACTGTCAATCTTGTGGCTAAACCTCTGCATTTTAGTATTAAAACAGTATACGGCAGACACTGTCGACGGCAGAGCATTTAGCTACCAAGCTCCTTTACTGTGGAATCAGCTCCCCACGCACGTTAAGGAAGCAGACACTGTCTCTACATTTAAGGCCGGGCTTAAAACACTCTTTTTCAACTCGGTAAAGCACATTAAAAGCGGGTTGTTTCTTTTTGCTGTTACTCTCGGTAAAGGTGGAACAGGAACCCGCGGGAGTGAGCAACCAAAATGCAATGTTTAAGATTAATCACCATTCATGAATGAATGAATGAGTGAACAAGTGCGCAGTGAAAGCAGTTGCAAAACTTAAATTTGTTATTTGTTATTATCCCCTCAACCTACCGGCTTCCCGTTCTACGTTTACTGTAGAAACTGCATAAAAGGGCAACCACTTTACCGTGGCCCTTTTTCGCTGTTCTTTTCCGAAAGGATTAGAAAAAAAACTGAATCTGTCCACAGCGGGCCGTACAACCGTCCACACAACAAGAACAGACCATTTGATTTAGTAAAACCGCTTTCCAAACGTCTAAAACTAGCTAACTCTCTAGCATCCAGGTAGATTTCTATGCTGTCTTGCCACACGGTCACGTGACCGCCGCATGAAAAACTATAAACAACGACATCACTCCAAGATCCTCCAATATGGGACCCGGTCCGCTGCATCTTCAATCCTACGTTCTTGGCTAGGCTAAAACAGTCCTCTTTAGTTTAGAATATGGCTACGAAGGTAAGACTCAGGGAAGGCTAAACTCCTCGGACTGTCAGTCAAGCTGCATAGGGAGTCAGTTTGCTGGAGAAGTATGGTAACTTCAGCACTATCCTCTCCTCCTTCCTACTTTATCTGTTTGCATAATTAGGATTTTGACCGTAGTTTGTTCATTGCTATTCACTCGTTGTCCCATTGTCTGTTTCATGGTACGATGACGGGATCTCTGAGCCTGGCCTCCTCCATCTTCACCTGCGGACTGCCCCGCCCGACCCGCCTGGGAGTGCTTCAGTCCTGCACCGGACCTGTCCACGTTCAACGGCCACTGGTCCACGTTCTGGCTCTGCCCTGCTGAGATCTGATGGGACTGGCTTTCACCTGCAGGTATGATTAATGCAGAGATGAAATACAGTGTAATTGTGTAATTGGTCTGAAATGTTACTATTGATGTATAATTTCACATACAATATGTGGCTTCCAGCTAATCTGATGATCAATAATCAGAATCTTCTCTCACAGACATTACACAGTATATATATATATATATATATATATATATATATATATATCATAAACACGGGGAAGACTAAGGAGATGGTGGTGGATTAACGCAGACGTCACTCTGCCGCTCCATCTCATCTCCAGTGAACATCCAGGGAAAGGACATTGAGAGAGTGGACTCTTACAAGAACCTGGGTGTTCATCTGAACCACAAACTGGACTGGACTCATAACACAGACGCTAGAACTCTACCTGCTGAGGAGGCTCAGGTCTTTTGGAGTGCCACTCCTGAAGACCTTCTATGACTCTGTGGTGGCATCAGCCATCTTGTACGGTGTGGTCTGCTGGAGCAGCAGCATCACAGAGAGGGACAGGAAGAAGCTGGACAAGGTCATCCGGAAGTCCAGCTCAATCCTGGGCTATTCCCTGGACACAGTGCAGCAGGTGGGGGACAGGAGGGTCCTGAGCAAACTAACATCTATGCTGGACCATGACTGTCACCCCCTGCAGGACACTCTCTCTGCTCTGGAGAGCAGTTTCAGTGACAGACTAATTCACCCTCGCGGTGTGAAGGAGAGGTTCCGTAGGTCTTTCCTTCCTGCTGCTGTCAGACTGTACAATAAGAACTGCTGAGCCTGTAAATTTTATTCATCTGTAATTAAGTAAATTCTTAAATCATGTGCAATGTGCAATACTGCAACTTCAGAATGTCACAGAACAATGTCACTTTACTTATCTACTTATTATCCTGCACTATTTAACTGTACAGTATATAACTGCACTACTACATATATTTTTTTTGACTGGTATTGAAGCATTTTCAGCATCTACAGCTAGTTATGTTAGCTAAGATAGATAACATAGCTACTACTTATTTGTATATATTGTGTGTGATCCCTGTGTGCTCTTACTACTCTCCTATATGTGCGCTGCAACATCAAAATTTCCCCACATTGGGACGAATAAAGGAATTATTATCTTATACAGTATATATATGCAAAAATGTATGAAACAGTCAAATTTGGCAAAATGTATCTTGCAGTTGTTTCAGTTGTTTTGGTGCTTTTCTAAGATCAGAATGAAAGTTCTCACAACTATTATTTCCACCTCCACAACATTGAGTCATGTGTGACATCATCGCAGCAGTTTCTCCTTTGAACAATCGTCAAATGCCTTTGGACATGATCAGTTAATTCAACAATTCTCTGCTGTTTTATAACATTATCATTTGCTTCTGTCCTGTCAGTCAGAATGAAAAATACTTTATCAATCCAGTGTATCGTCCATACGAGGCCGGCGTTTTGGGGGGGTGTAAACAAACATTTTTGAAACTAGGTCCCAGAGTGGAAAGATTTCAAAACTCCGTATATGCCGCTCCGTGGTTACTGCCTCTCCGCAATGTATCTGAGACGCTTGCGTCATCGCCCCGCCTCTTGTTAAAGCACGCATGCGCCGCACTCAGAAAATAAGGACACCAACAATGTAGCTTGTTGGTTTTGTAATCCAGTGTGACCCGAAGCAACAGTTCAACCTCATCGTCCGTCCATACTAATGTAGTACCAGCTCGCCCACTCGCCATGTTGTCTGTTTACAAAATTCCACGCATGCCCACGGAAGTTTGGGCTTGATCCCGTCATTGCGTCACAGCGCCACCAACAGGTCTGGCATAGTTTCACAGCGTTTTCAGGCGTATTGACTACATTCATATAGACGCACACATTTACTGAGCTAACTCCGTGTTTACAGAAAAAGTTTCTGAAATGATAAGCGTTTTGTCTTCGTGTGGATATAGCCTTAAGTGTCACAATGAAAACATGACAGACAGTTTCATTGACATGAATACTTGCTATTGAGGACTCAACTTTTCATTTTGAGCACGTGACACACTTTTGCAGGTTATCCACAAGGTTTTGGAATTTGTACTAATTGTTCTGAGAAATGCTCTAACTGTTGTGCAACTGTTTATAGTGATGTTAACATTTGCAAACAAAGCGATGGATACAAACGGAAAGAAACATACAGTAGATATTGTTCACTGTTTAAAGTGAACGACATCTTTTCAGCTGAAAAAGTCATCAAACTTTTGTGAATCTGTTTCTGCTCCTGAACGCTGGTCTGTGCACATGGTATGATTAATGCAGCCTCATTAGCATTGGTAATG